ATACTCGAAAATATTTCGCGGCACTTGAGTGCATTTATGTGTCAACATTCTGAATATATTCCATTTAAACTTTTTCTTTGCTTTTACGAGTTTATATTTGCATCGCATGTTGGCGGCGGCGGCGACATTGTAAAGCGTGCTCGTCAAATAAGAATCATAGTGACAACGGAATTCCATCCATGTAGTCAGCAAAACGAATAGCAGCAGCATAGCGGAGGAAAAAAATGCGAACACATTTATGATCTATTAAAAAATTTATGTTGAAATATTATTATAATTTTTTTCATCTTCTTTTGGATGCGCTTCTATCAAGGTGCCGGTGGAGTATGGTCGAATCATTTCCGAAGCGAAATGGAATGGATGGTATGCAGAACGAGGCAGATGTACTTGCAACAGTGTATTTCAAAGTTGAGACTATTTATATCCAGAAACGAAGCCATTTATTTTGCAAGGGTGAACAGCGAAAAATTCCCTCAAGACGGAAATTAAATGTAATAAATGAAATTTGCTAAACTAATTTGTAACGCCTGAGATATGGCGGAGAATAATACCGCAATGGAGCAAATATACAGAGTGAGCTGAGCAGAGAGCATAAAAAATGAAACAGCGCTAGAAATTAATAAATAATGAGAGAGAGAGAGAGAGAGAGAAAGAGCTGAGTGTACGAGTGAGCGGGATGTGTGTATATGGATTTTGTGTGCATATAACTAACTAAACGGTTTCCATCAAATAAACATGTAATCGATCATTAAAAATCAATGATTTATAACGGCCGTTGCTATGATATTCAAGCACATGAATTGTCTTGCATTTCTCACTTTTCACCACCTCCGTCATCATCGACACTGCACATTTTCTGGATTCTCGATGGTCTTCGTCATTTCCATCGCTCCCAATGTTGCCGATGAGTTGAGCCATGCTGCCAACTTTTTCTTTTTCTTTTTTCGTACCATGGCTTCGAAAGCACTTTGCGTATAGAAGAATGTAGTATAAACAATTTTATTATGCCGAATATAAAAGGGCCGCCACCCTTCGTCATATAAATATGTATTACACGTACGTGTGCATTGTAATTGAAGAAGCATATGGCAACTGAATAGTCGTTCCCATCATTTCAAAGTGACGACGTGTGAAATCGTGCTCATGATACAATGTGTGTGTGTGTGTGTGTGTGTATACGCGCGCGCTCAAGCGCCCGATGCTCATTTTCATCAATAATGAAATGTCATTAAGTACAGCTCTAGTATAAACAAGCAGCTCTGTAGCCCGATCGCACTTGATGTTCCATATTTGTTTTAGGTGAGTTTTTATGGGTGTACCCGAGACAAACACAACAAAATCAAAAAATAAGTTCAACAACCACGAACAAGAGAGAATGAATTTCAAAAAGAACGCCATAGATCATTTCCACATCGTGGTTTTCCCGAAAAGTGTTGTGGTTTTGACAAAATGAAACTTTGTTCCATTTTGAGTGGATTCTCTTTGCGTTTTTCATATGGCGACAATGTATTTCAATGTATCAACGGTAGTTTTAGTGAAAAGCTATTCAACCAACCAACCATCCAATCGACCGTCCATCCGCCCGTTACATTTGCGGCGAACGAATTTGCGCTCATTATGCGAGCGCGCACACACACACACACACGATGACTCGATTTTTCGATACAAAATCCAGCCAAATAACATAAAACCCTCGGAATATTAATAAAATTTATACATACTTTTAATGCGCGCATCAAACCAAATTATGTCTATTGAAGAGCTTTCCGCTCGAGTTGTTGCTTTCATATAATTTATGCTTTTTATACTGCATTCGTGTGGTAATGTTTTAATTGGGTTATTAAGCGATAAGTACACATCTACGCAAACTCTGAGTGATTGACAACATTTTTCGGTGGATCGAGAAATACACACAGTTGGCATTCATTTGCGACACTCAAACGTGTGTAGTTTTAGATATGATGATGCGATTAGAGAGATAGACTCTATAATTAAATTAAACTTCCATGCTAAAGCGTCGAACCCAACATTTCGTCGAGTGCAACATTTTATAGCCGAATATTGGGCCACATTTTCCGCGGTGCGTTGTATTCCCAAGCAAAAATTCACATTGAATTGAAGTTGCGTTAACGCATATCTGACACTGTTCCCACACGGTTTTGAACGTCAAACCGTGTGGCAATAGTATAATAGAGTGTGAAGCCGTTTGACATCATTTTTGATTTCAAATAACCGTGTGGATGCAGTGTAAGTTTGTTCGGGTATCAAGAGTTAACACCAAAAATGGTTTCAAAATTCGCAATGATAACGCAACGGTCATACACTTTGGCGACATGGTTTTAAATGTAAAACAGTTCGGCGGACTTCCACACTGTCCAATACAAACATAAATTGCATTGAGGTTCAAAACTGTGTGAGAACAGTGTCAGATATGTGTTAACGCAACGTCGATTCAGTGTAAATTTTTGCTTGGGATTGCTATTGCGAGCAATGCTCCCAGTTATGATAAAATTTCGGTTGACGAGAAAGAGAGGGAAAGAGAGAGAAAGAGACATCGCTCAATTGGGCTAGCATACACTTCTTTGTTGTTGAATACAAACGCATTAGGAGCCTCGCGTAATGGATCCCATTATAGAAAGAAAAACGCATTGATGTTAGAACAAAGACAGCTGAGCACACATACACCACACCACACATATACTCTAGCATGAAGTTGCTGCAAAAAAACTTTAAATTTATCTCATTCGGTTCATTTTTTTTGTTGGCGCCTCTCGACAACGGCCATGACCTCCATCACTCTGTCTCATTTTATCATATAGTTATCGGCAATCATTCATCACTGTGGTTTTCTCTTGAAAATCTGATACGCTTGGGCTTGGTCTATGCGCTGCTGGTCATGCTATCAGCCAAACTACCAAATGTAAAAATTGTTTGCTATTCTTCTACAGAGACGAGAATTTATGAAAAGAAAAAAAGAAATAAAATCAGCAGCAGTCAGGTTCACACATAGAGACAAAGTGAAAGACAACACGATGGGGGGCGGGAAGTGCTAAAATATCGTCGATACAAGCGATTAAAATATCCCTTTTGAGCAACTTAATCTGTTTTATATACGTGCTACGTACAAATGTATGCATGGTGTACCATGGTGCGATCAGTACGAGACTGTGGCTGACTGAGAGTGCCGTTTGGCGCAACAAACGAACAAGAAGATAAGAGTGGAAAAATGTCATAAATATAAAATTACGTTCACATAATAGCTTTTTAAAAATGGCAAATATTTTACATAAACTTGCGTTTGAAGCATCAGTGCAACAAATTGAGCGCTGTGGCATGTGCGACCAACGAAAAAAAAAGACGGAGACAAATAAGTTGCAAAATAGAGCAGAAAGTGAGCCACGAAGCAAAAATGGAGTGAGAGAGAGAGAGAGAGAGACGGAGGGAGAGGGAGAGAAAAAGAAAAATGGGAAAATATAAGAAGAAAATGATATGAAGCGAAATGCTGTATTTTACAACCTTGCATAATGGGCACATTCCAGCAACAAAAAGACACACACACACACACACACACACACACACACACACACACACACACACAC